AGAGGAAATTTCTTTGCTTTTTTCGATCGCGAATGAAAAGCAGCGAAAATTTTTTTGTCGATTGCATTCCGAATGTGAGAGATGATAAATTTGTTTGCATTTTTCACTCGCGATAAAAGAATGCAAAAATAGACTTGGAATATTATCGATCGCGATAAATCTCGTAAAAGAATGAAAACGAATAATCATAAATGAGAATTTCCGAACCCTGCTCATAACACCCTCAAATAAAGACAAGCTGTAAACAATGGCATCCAAATAGAGCCTACACAGAACACGTAGCTAACACTACATGGCATTTTTAAAAAAGGTAGCGGATATCGACAGCACAAGGCCTTTAAAAGCGACGTGCACCACACCCTTTGAGGATTAATAATAGGCTTCAGTGTCCAAGTTGTCTCTCACTTATCTGCAGGGCGAGACAATTGTAATCTTTTCACAAAGATTATGTGCGTTCCCTGCGTCCGCAAGCCCTCGAGGGAGCGTCTATCGAAAGAAATGAATTTTACGAGTAATCGAAGTAAGAATTATTTACAAATCTTAGGTTTATTAAACACCACTTCCAGTAAGTAAGAGGTAGAGAAATTATCAGAAATAGGTCGCCAGTGAAACCAGTAAAAACTTGTAAAAACTTCAAACTTACGCCACTGTGGCATTTTTCGATGGTTAAGTTTTGGCGTGCAATTTTTATTTGCCTGGAAATATCTCTCATCGAGAAAGAAAAAAATCAACCAACACCAAAACAAAAAAGATTTACTTTGGAAGTCAACTATTCACCAATACTTTAATTTTACTGATTTTATTTTGACCAATCTTAAATAAGCATTGGTAATCAAAACAAGTAAAAAAGTCTAAGTTCGGGCGGAGCCGAACATAAAATACCCGACGCAAGTATTGAATATAGTTTTTTCATCTTTTCGAAAACTATTACTACATGGAAATCAGGGCTGGTTTTACCCTTATTTCCACCATCTTCGATAGAACGTTCAGTTAGACATAATGAGATAAACTTATATAGTTATACATATATATATAGCCCATTTACCAAAATTCTATAATAATGCTACTACTTTTCACGGAATTGTTGTATCAATTTTGAGTAAATCAGCGACCTTAAATTTCGAAATATCGCAGTTTCAAGCATTTCTGAAATTTACCGTTATATGGCGCAATTTTAGTCCGATTACAATAAGTTCAACGGTTTGATTTGATGTGGCAAGCACACTAATAATACCGAGTTTGGTACAAATTGGTCAAACGGTTGCCGAGATACACATATGGAGTCTAAGTGGGTGATGCCGCGCCTGTTTTCCGAAATTTTATCATAAACGTATTTATTGGTAATGAATTATTGCAAGCATAATTTTTTCTTCTAAAAGTCATTGTAAATATCAATTTTGAATGAATAAACTTTAGTAGTTGCTAAAATATCGCAGTTTTCGTATTTCTGTAAACTACCGTTATATGGGCGGTAGGCGCGGTTATTGTCCGAAAATAAGTAAACCTGCCAAGTATCGTTAAGATATCTCAATTTTTACTCCAGTTATCGAATGCAAAGGCGGACGGACGGACAGACAGTAACCGCTTAATCAATTTCTTTATTCATTCTGATCAATTATGTACACATTTGTCTATATTTATCTCAATTCGTTTTGGCTATTACAAACCACCGTTATGTGAACAAAGTTATAACACCCTTGTGCACATGTGCGCTCGGGGATAGAAATTTGTTTGCAAGCACGAAATCAAAAGTGTTTTTGAACTATGTAAAATATGTATGTAAGTTTGTAGTATATTTCTTTATTTGTCCATTTTTTTGATTTGTTCTCCATAGGATCGTGATCGTGCACTGCGTGAACTGATCTGCCCACGTGAGCGACTTGAAGCACAACGTATCAATGATATAACAAACTCCCACTTCAAATCTCTTCAAATTATCAACAGCATTCGCACAGACAATAATGAGAACAACGACATTGAGTTGCTGCCACTTGGTGAAACCACCTACGGTTCGGGCAGCAGCAGCGACGTCTCTGAGCAGGTGCCAACGGAAAAGAATACCGTGCAGCGACTCATCGAACAATTCAATGTGGATGAGCTTATGCAAGCCGACGAAGGCACAATGCCCATGAGTAGCTACCACATACCAGGCGAGATCCCTAAACCAGTGAAGAAGGCGTCTAAGAAGGTGATCGTAACCAATAGTGGCGATTATCAGAAAAAGTACCGTGGACAAAAATACGATGAGAGCATTCAGCTTCCGCCACCAACGCCGAAGCCAAAGAAGCAACAGCAGTTGCTGGCTTTGGAAGACATGATGATGGGCGATCAGCCACAGCAAAGCGGTGAACCGGAAATGATAGAACACATTGGCATCGAAGAAGACGAAGTTTCTAATGAGATAACTGAATCATTACCGCATAAGAAAAAAGTACTGCCACAGGACTTAAAAACAATGGCACCCATTACAGAGAAGTCTTCGGAGGAGATGGTTAGTGAAGAAAAGCAAGCTCATCATTTCAAGGAAGAGATGGAAAAGAGATTAGTATTTGACACAACTATAGCAGCTTCCAGTACAGCAGGTAGCACTACTACTGTGCCAGCAACAACCACTACTACAACTACAACTACAACAACTACCACCACAGCAGCTGCAACGACAACCACTGCCCCCAGTAGCACTGTGACACCAATTCTGAGCACATCCACGACTACTCACAAACCGAATGAAAACCAAGCTACAATAACAACAGAGCAGGCTGTTCTCATTTCAAAGAGTGATGCATCGCCTAGCACTATTAGATCTTCGGAAACCGGCCCGAACCTAATAGTCCATACCTCAACAGCCACTCCTACGCATCCAACCGACTTAGATGCGCACGCCTTCACCAGTAGCACGCTCGCTTCCCACACATCGCACACTGAATCACCTGCAACCATAGGTCATCCTATTCACCCACAGCAACAGCAAGCACACGGGATCATTATTTCCGACGAATCGCAACATTCACACATGAAAGAATCAGCAGACAATTCACACTTTATTCCACCAATGTTGATGGTGAAGTCACATTATGTACCACCGCTGAAGCATAGTGACCATCCAAGTGGGGAACATTATGGCACCGGAATGCATGAGGGAGCGGCGCCTGCGCACCCTGGTCATGGAGATTTTCGAGGTAAGTTAGCACAAATTTTTCGAAAAACTTTACTGAATTCTCAGTACAATCAGTGAAGTAACTCATACTGAATTTATGGCATCGGGGCACGAGTTTCTACGCTTTAATAGAAATAATCCATTCCTATCAATTTTAATACAATATTTCTATTACTAGTGGATTTCATATAACCAATTTGGTCTATATTCGTGTGATATTATGTCGTGTTACCCTACTGGGTCTAAGGAGCCCCATGTAACTAAAATGACAGAGTTTTCATTGCCTATCTATGTATGTCTACGTATATGTCATTATATTGCTCATGCAGCTAGTCATTTTAAATACTTTTGTATAGATATTGCACAGAATAGCTATGGCGAACATCATACGAAATTTATAGACCGTAATTTTTGTTCGACGTACATTGGGAAATTTTACAAATATTTAGGCAAATGGCTTAACAAGCATGATTTAAAAAAATGAGATTTTTATTTTTGCAAACAATAAGATCGTAAACCTTGACTTCCGCGGTGTCTAAAGGGATATATTTTTATATTATGGTTACATTGAAAACGTTTGAATGCAGTTTTTTGTTGAAAAATGCATCGAATTAAGGGAAGCAAAGCTAGCGAATGTCGATCCTTTTCTCGCGGATCTTTTCCGAGATTTGGCTTCTTTGCGGGGCAGCTGCAGCAGACTTCGCAAGGTGTTACGCCTTGCTTTCCTTTCCCCGTACACCGCAAGCCGGGCAGAGGCAGCTTCGCCTTCGCCGGCAGGTTCTTACTCTCAAATTGTCGCCCTTTAAGCGTTTGTTGTGGTCGTCATCAAAAGAACGGGATCTCATCGGAGGCATTTCTGTCTTTTACATTTGATAACATTTTTACGTGGCGGGTCCCAAGACCAGTGCACAACCATTGCATTGAGTGAATGATTTTTCACCCCGACACACTTTTATATAACGAGCCGCGTGCTCCAAGACAGACGCCCGCTTGCAGCCGCTGTACACTTCAGTGAGTCCTTAAACTGAATAAGTCGGAGTGGCCCTATCGAAGCTCCTTCTCTTTTTCCCGTGACCCCAGGGTCTATTCTGATAGGCTACCGCTTCTCGAACAAGGATTGCTCACGTTGCTCAGAATGCGAGAACGAAGGCGCAAGAGTTAATCTAGGCTTGCAACTGTATTTGCATGTCTGGAAGAACGACTATACCCCATTGCACTTCTAGTTCGCCTCATATTGTAGAAATTTGTATTAGGCTTAGTATTAACCTGATCCCTAGTCTTCGTTGTCGTCTTCACATTCGTCTTCGTATGCAACATTTTCTTGGCATTTATATTCACCTCCGGCTTCACTTTCGTTAATGTATTCGTCTTCGCTTTCCTGATCATATTTTTATACGTCTTCGTACTACTATAGTTTTTTTGCAATCGTCTTCGTATTTCTGCTTGTATTTGTATTCGTGTTGGCCTTCGTCTTCGTCCTTGATTCGTGTTTGCCTTCGCTTTGTATCCGTTTTCGTTTTTGTATTAGTATTTGTCTACACTTTGTATTGGTCTTTCATTTGTCTTCGCAGTTGTCTTCGTATAATCTTCGCATTCGTATTTGTGTTCGTCCCCGAACTCGTATTTTTTCGTCTTCATATTTGTTTTCGTATTGGTATTCAATTTGGTATTCGTATTCGTATTTGTCGTCGTATTCGTCTTAGAATTTATCTCCGAATTCATAGATCGTCTTCATATTCGTGTTCCGTTTCGTACTTGCCTTCGTGTTTTCTTCATCTTCATATTCGTTTTCGTCTTCATATAATTTTCTTCGAAGATTCGTAAAGAAATCGTCAGAGAAATGAGATATTCCTAAAAATTTCGTCAAGATTTCGGGAACTTTGGATTGCAGGGAATATGTGCATATGTATGTAAATTCTACTACACTAGTCAGTGTGAAAAACATTTTATATTATTTCAAAAATTTTGTTGCAGGTGCTTGTTAAACTACTGTCGGTCAATGTAATCTTTTTCCATCAACATAAATTTATGATAACCTAATTTTATATTATTTTCTCCTTGTAATTTTTAAGGAAAGCCCAGTGACGACATGTCTCATCACAGCACCGCAATCAACCATGTTCCCGCTGAACCAGCAACCCATCACATAGCAACTGCCAAAGCTGATGTAGCTGACATTGAAGCGAAGACCACAATAACAGTGACGACCACAATGGCGACATTAAAATCAGAAACAACAACAGCAGCCTCAGAGGGAACATCAGCTCATAGTGACGAGTTGACAAAGGAAGCAACAGATAAATTGGCAGCACTGGCACAAGAACACAAGCAGCAACACTCAAATGCCAAGTTAATTGACAGCACCGCTGCAACAGCAAATCAAAAGCAGCAACAGAGCGGTAAACAATCTGTTACAAAAGCTCATTCGCAAGTAGCAAGTGAGAAAATTGAAGATGCCGAAGATATTGTAGTAGAAACAACAACAACAACAACAACAGATGCACCTACAACAACAACAACAACCCAATCGGCAACGAGCGCTTCCGCTGCTAACAAGCATATTTCAACGGCAACACCAACCACCACGACGACAGCAACTACAAGAAGGACGACAGCAACATCGACAACCACAATGAAATCCGCTGACGTCAGCTTGACACATGAAATTGAGAAGCCAGTTAAGCGAGATCCGCAGACAAAGGCAGTTGAAGAGCTAACAAAAGAAACGTCAGGGAAGGCATCTAATACAGCAGCGGAAGTGTCAGCCACCATCATCACAACAACAGTAACGGCGAAGACAGATAAGTTGCAAGCAATAAAAGTCGCCGACTCAAATCGCAAGCTGGAGGTTGAAGAAACAACTGCAAACTCACCAGCAGCCGCAGTAGTAGAATTGGCGCCACAAAATGCAACCCCGACAACTGGCGCGCCATCAGCACCAACCTTGGCTACAGTCACAACAACTACTGCTTCCATTGCTGCTTCCGCTTCCGCTGTAACCGCCACAACATCCACACATACAATAACAACAACAAGAGTATGTAATAGTAACACAGATATGGACTTGTCGAGTTCTGAGGAAAGCTCTGCAGCAATTGAAGATACCGAAGGCAATAAGAAGCTGACGCGTACACATCGCACTTGTCAGCCGCGCATCGAGAAGAACAGCAGCAGCAGCAGCAGCGGCAAGCATACGAAGCATCATGCCACAACCGCCGAACCACCAACGCCGACACGCAATTTCTTGAAGGAAGCAACAGATACGCCGCTCTA